ATTTTTTACAAATATAATAAAGGTATGACAAATATTTTTTATATTGATATTTGCATTAATTCTTATTAATTTAAAATATATCTAAGAAAAACCATAAAAAAACTATTAAAATTTTAATATGATGTAATGTAAAATATTAATTTGGATGGGTAAAGATTCCTTAGGTGTCAGTGAATTTTTATTTTAAAGATTTCTCACCAACTTTATCGAATCGGGACTTAAAATGTATAATCCAATTGAAAAGTCATCCGGGATGAATCTTAATAGTGTCTATCTGAGTTTGGTAAACAATGTTTTATTTAAAACTCTAACTCATATCATGAGATGGTTTACGAGATGATGATAGCTTTTTCACGTATAAAAATTTAATTTAACTCATTTATCGAATAATAAAAAATATTAGAATGGACTATGTAGGATAAAATAAATCAAATTCGGATACTAAGAACAATAAAAAATAAATTTAGTAAAATACTAGTCGAACTAAACGTAAGATTCAATAAAACGAGACTCTAACTCATATTTATTTAAACTAAAAGTTGATTGGTTTTATACATATTATTGAATTATTTATGATAAAATATACACAACATACAAATATAACATAATCTGTGTTTTATATTTTAAGAGTAAAATTGACCAAATCTTAATTTGTAAAAAAAATTAACATAATGACTTAGATTATAATAAATTAAGTTAAAGAGACATATGTTAGTGTAGATTAATGAAATAAACATCTATAAAATTAAAATATTGATGAGATTATATAAATTTAACATTATGTTATTATTTTATTGTGAAATATTTATTAACTAAATATATTATTATTAGATTTATAACCATAATAAAATTTCTATTATTATTTAAAACTGTATATACACGATTTCGTTAATCACATTTTTCAGATACCACGGGTTTATCAAAAATAGAACTCTTTCATCGAGTCGTAAAATTTCTAAAAAATTATTTCGGTGTTTCACATTCAAACCCTTAAATTTATATTATAACTCACAAAAATATAAATACATAAATAATTTATAATCTCTCTTTGAAAAAACCACAAACCTTTTGTTATCTTTGCACTTTAAAAAAATTCCTCATTTAAAAATATGAATTATAAATTCAAAAATAAATATTTTAACTTTAAAATCAATAATAATTTAAAAAATAATCCGCGCGATATGCGCGGGTTATTACCTAGTATATATAAAAGTACAGTTCACTTAACAAGGTGATGACACGTGTCCTCAACCATTTTTAACTAATTTTTTATTTATTAATTATTTACTTATTTAAATAATTAATGAGACAATTAAAATCAAAGATAATCGAGAGACATAATACATGTTACAATACAAAACATTAAAATCAAGGATAATCACGTGCTCTATTATCTGGAAATAGATAAGGAGAGTTCTTGGAAGAGGAGCATGCCTACAGATAAATAATGGTAATGACATTAAAAGGAATCAACGACGACAGTCAGATAAACGGAGAGACCCTTACACAGATTTTTCCGAGTTCGAGTACGCGGGATGATTTGAACGGTGGGACAGGAGAAATGACGGAGCTCCGGAGGAAGAGAAGAGCCCAGAGACGAATTGGGTCTGGTGGATCCGTTTATCTCCACAGGTCTTAATGCTGAATTTGAATCGGGTCTGGCGGAGGAAGAGGTTGTCGCTGTGCCTGCGCCGCTGTCCGAACACAAGCGCAAGCTCGATGAAGTTGAGCCTGATGAGGTCCCGCATGAAGGGTCAAATGTTGAGCTCGATGGATGTGCCGTTGATGATGGTTTTTCTCAGGTGAAACGGTCGAAGCTTGGCGACGACGCTGATGGTTTAGAGGTACTTTTGGGTTTGATTAATTGGAGCTGTTGATTTAGTCCACTTAGGTTTTGTCGATGTATATTGTGAGTTATTGAGGCGGATTCGTTTATGGAGTTCTTACAAAGATTTGAGGATTGTTCTGGAGTTCGTTGTTTGATATATGTGATATGCGATGTACGGTTGTTGCTCATCTCCTTAGATTCGTGAAAATTTTGGTTTGTTTATATATGGCCAAGTTAGAGAAAGATTCTAATGTTGCATTTTACTGCAGATATTGTTGAAGCGGATGAAAAAGGTTCTTCAGGGGAAAAACCCGAAGAGCACCAGGAGAATGAGAAGGAGAAGCATGAGGAAGAACCCCAATCCAATGAAAAGAAAACGGAGAAGAAACCGAATGAGTTGAAGGATGAGAATCCAGAAAGTGAACCTTCAACAGAAGAAGTCCAGAAGTCCATTCAAACCGAGGAAGCTGGAGAGAAAACAAGCAACAAAGAGCAGGCCTCTGATGATATTGCCACGCCTGAGGATATATAATGAACGAAATATTTTTAAAAAAATATATATATAAAAATAAAAATAAGAGATTGGGGGGTAAGGTGATAAAATTAAAAGTTCTGAAAAAATCTGTTATTTCAGTTAGGATCTTTTAGAACGAAATAAAAGTTTGGACAGAATTCGAAAATTTCAGAAAATAGGGGATTGGACTGCAATTTTTGCTAGGGTTTGTTCTTCTTCTTCTTCTTTTTTCTCCTCCCATGGCCGACCCTAACACCATTGTTGCCAATCTTCCACTCCGATTTGCCTCCTTGCTCGCCGTCGACCGTCGACCACCGCCCCGTGGTCACCGCTTCATCACCGTTGGTCGTTTTTCCTCCCATGGAAAAGGTAAAGATGGCTCAAGAAACGGATGAAAAAACGAAAGAATTGATGGAAAAGCCCGAAGATTTTACAAGGGCAGGGTATTCCACTTCAAATGATGGGTTGATACTATTGAGAGGTCGTGCTTATGTGCCTAAAGATGAAGAATTAAGGAAAGAGTTATTGAAAGAGGCGCATAATACGCGATATTCCATACATCCGGGTACTACAAAGATGTATCGGAATTTGAAACAGTCCTTTCTTTGGCATGGCATGAAAAAGGATATTGCAAAGTTTGTTACTCATTGTCTAACGTGTCAGCTAGTTAAAGCCGATCACCAAGTACCTGCATGAAAACTACAATCGCTATCGATACCTCAGTGGAAATGGGACTTGGTGACGATGGATTTTATAGTTGGTTTGCCAAGGACACCAAAAGGAAATGATGCGATATGGGTTATTGTGGACCGTTTAACTAAGTCTGCACATTTTATCGCGATTAAAAAGACATTCTCAATGCCTCGTTTAGCACAGGTCTACATAGAAGAGGTGGTAAGACTTCATGGAATCCCTATTAGTATCGTGTCAGACAGAGATCCACGATTTACTTCGAGATTTCGGAACAGTTTTTAAGAGACTATGGACACTAAGGTACGATTGAGTACGACTTATCATCCCCAGACTGATGGACAGTCAGAAAGGACGATACAAATGCTAGAGGATATGTTACTGCGTATGTATTGGATTGGGGAGGGGAATGGGATCGTCACTTACCACTTGTGGAATTCGCTTACAACAACAATTTTCATTCAAGTATCGGGATGTCACCCTTTGAGGCGTTATATGGAAGACCTTGTAAGACACCTCTTTGTTGGACAAAAGTTGGGGAAAGATGATTGTTGGGTCCTGATATAGTGGATGAAACCACGAACAAGATTAAGGTGATCTAGAACCAGATGAAGACAGTACAAGATAGACACAAAAGTGATGCGGATAAACATAGACGTGACATAACTTTTCAAGAGAATGACGAAGTATTTCTCAAAGTACAAGCAACTAAAGGAAAAGCACGCTTCGGAATGACGGGAAAACTAAAACCCAGATTCATTGGACCTTTCAAGGTATTGAGTAAAATAGGAGCATGGCTTATAAGGTTGCCTTACCCCCCGGGTTGGCACAAGTTCATGATGTGTTTCATGTGTCCATGCTTCGGAAGTACCATCCTGACCCTTATTACATTATTGATTATCAACCGCTTGAGTTAAAACCAGATGGGACTTATGAAGAAGAACCTATCGAAATTGTTGAACGAAAGGTTAAACAACTGCGGAGAAGAGAAATTCCTCTAGTAAAGGTCACGTGGACGCACCACAAGGGAGGAGATGCGACTTGGGAATTGGAGGACGACATGAAGGCTCGTTATCCCCGCCTTTTTGGTAAGAAAAATCATACATACCATACTAAGTAGTTCTAGAATTCGGGACGAATTCTACTTTTAAGGGTGGTGGAATTATAACGAACGAAATATTTTAAAAAAAATATATATAAAAAAATAAAAATAAGAGATTGGGGGGTAAGGTGATAAAATTAAAAGTTCTGGAAAAATCTGTTATTTTAGTTAGGGTCTTTTAGAACGAAATAAAAGTTTGGACAGAATTCGAAAATTTCAGAAAATAGGGGATTGGACTGCAATTTTTGCTAGGGTTTCTTCTTCTTCTTCTTTTTTCTCCTCCCATGGCCGACCCTAACACCATTGTTGCCTATCTTCCACTCCGATTTGCCTCCTTGCACGCCGTCGATCGTCGACCACCGCCCCGTGGTCACCGCTTCATCACCGTTGGTCCGTTTTTCCTCTCTCTTCTTAGTTTTTCGCCGAGTTATTTTTCTCCTCCTTCACCACCGAACTTTGTAGATTTCCGGTGAACGGAAACTCGGTTTTGGTTGAGACTTGAAGGGTTTGAAAGCACTTGACGAGTTGAATCTTTTCTGAGTAGTGTCGTCATCGGAAACGGTAAAACATCGCCGGAAAATCACCGAGAACCGTCGGAGAAAAACTTAGATCTAGGGTGATTTAGGCCGATTTAGGCCAAAATAACTTCGGATTTGGATTGCTTGATTGGTTTTACATAGGAAACATAAAAAAATTAAATGATTCCGTGATGTATGACGATCGCCGACCACCGGCCACCGACCACCGCCACCGGCCACCGTCGTCGGAAAATTTTCCGGTGACATGGGTTGAACCGTTTCAATCCCGTGATTTCAAATCCGAAATCCGTTTTATAAAATTCAAAGTACTTAGAGATATTCGAACGATTTAAAATAAGACAGTTTAACCGTAAGACTTACCATTCGATTAACGTTTTTTTTTCGGTAGTAAATATTTTTGAAAAATAATTTGTTGATTAAGATTATTATATGATAATTAATTATAGGTGAAGAAAATCTCGAGGTTATTGAACCCGGGATCGAGGATTAGAGCGAATCTTTCAGAGTTCATCGTTTAGACCAAGGTGAAGGAACTCGACAGAACTCCTCTTTCTTCTATTCGCTTAGACATGATGATAGGGAACATAGATATCATGCGGTTAGGACTTTAGGCTAGACGCCTTAAATTTCTTGCGGATTCATGATGTATGTTGATTGATGATTGATGAATGATGATTAATGATTGATAATCGATGATTGATGAATAATGCATGATTATTGATGATTGATAAATTTCTGTTGAGTGATTATGGCTTATGACGTACATGTTATGTGATGACGTTTCTTAATAGATTATTAGACCGTTAGAATGAGTTGAACTTTTGATATTAAATAAACTTTGGCATGATGTTTGGAAAGATGAGAGAAGTAAAGAATTGAGTTAGGGACTAGGATGTGACCTCAGACTGTGTTAAAAATATTTTAAAAGTGAGTTTTGAGACCATGGTACGGTGGCGATCCGTATGTGATGGTATGATAACAACCCCGGCATGGCAGCGATCCATGTGGAGTGATAACCCCGACTACGGCGGCGATCCGTATAGGGTTATTGCTATTGGTTGAGTTTTGAGGTCATGGTACGGCGGCGATCCGTATGTGATGGCATAACGA